TATCAAAATTCAAAAAAAATTTAAAAAGTATTATTTTTCTATTTTTTTTTTATCGGCTTCGAGGCATATTTTTAGACCATTATGAAATGGTTTTTAAATTTTAAGTCATCAACTTCCGAGTCTTAAGTCAATAGCAACAAAATAAAATAACAATGGTATAATATTTACACACGAGACGCTTGAAAGTGTCGACCACCTGTTGCGGCATGGTCACCGTCTACATCACCGCATTACCATAAGCCACTTAAATAACGTTGCATTAATTAGGTAATAATTTATCCCAATAATACATTGGCCAATAGTCACCACGTGTGTTATATCTGCAGTACATACGCCATCGGTCTCGTTCGATCAATATCGTCGCGGTTGTACGATTTCAGTCTCAGTCATAAACGGTTGTTGCGATCCATCTTTCGCATGTATGGAAACCGCTTACCGTACTTCTGGTCGAACGTCCGCATACGGACGAGTGTGTTTTGCGATTGTACCGACAAAGGCTGGTGTTGTTGCCGGACGGGCGTCAGGATGATGTACCGGCGGCGCCTGTAGATGTGGTCGCCGGCCGCGACGGAGCCGGTCGCACGACTACCACCCGACTCCCGGTCACGTGCGACGAACGATGAGTCGGCTGCGGCGGTCGTCGTTGTCGTTCCCGCGGTGGTCGTCGCTACGAGGCAAGTCATCGCGATCAAACACAGCGCTGGAAACGCGTGATAGGTCACCGATCGCTGTTGTCGGCCCATGACTGTGGCCGAACTAAAACTAACTGAACGCGAGTGTGAGTAAGTACATTTTATTTTCCACGTTCGCCGCGGTCCGTCTAATCGTCGTCGACAATGTTATTTATTTATTATTGTTATTTAAATGAAGTAGGTAGATATTATAATATCATATTGAAGGTTAAACGGGTGCTATACCACCACTACCACCGAACGATAATTGTTTTACTACAGCATTCCTGACTATTATAATATGCATTATGTGATAAATTGAAAAATATACTTATTAATGAAAAATCCTGTTTCGACATGTTTTTCACGGATTTTTGTTATTCTCAGAAGATTGAAAAAAATACGTGTATTCGACAATCATTCTAATTTTTAAGTACATGCGTGGATCCCACTTCAACGAATTTCCACACGGATCGCATGGCCAAGAGTCCAGATCACTTCAGGGATATTTAGCAGCATTAGGGGTTGCTAACTGGAATATATAACTAAATTGTTTTCAACTAAATTTGGTCCAATAAGACATAGGTACATTTTACAGTGCGAAGAGAAAAATCTAAAAATTGTAATTTTCTCTATTTTAATGCTCGTTTATTGAGGGTAGTTCTGAATGCATAAAGTGACATTGAACTGACGATCACCACATATAGCAAAAACTGGTTGTTAGATACTGAATATTATTATGATTAAGCCCAAGAAGACATCGTTCACCATGACGAATCCAGCAAAAAGAAATGGTATCCAATAAAAACCTAATTGTGAAAAAATGGCCAAGTCCCAGGCTCCGAAAATGTTCTTCGAAAAAAGGCTGCCTATCAAAGTAGTAAGGCCTTTCTACATATTGTGGCCAAGTACGCTCTTTCTTTAGTCAATAACCTTCATAAACAAATAAGTTAATGTGCAATATATCGTTTTCTTAAACTTTTCGTTTATTTTTTTATCACAAGGCTATGGCGCTAATTAGTACGTTTCAAAGGAAAATAACCAGCGAGTGGTTGAAATCTATTTCAGTTGTTGACCACACTAAAGAGACAAAACCAGAAATTAGAAAAGTAATTTGCAAATACATATAAAAAAGATTTGTTTCAAATTAATTTAATTTTTGTGTTATGGAAATTGACTGAAGAAGGAGTATATTTGTCCACAATGTAGGTGTCTCTACTTTTTTCGAATAATTTTTTTGGATCCTCCACTCGGCCCTTTTTTTAACGGTTAGGCTTATTTCATATAAATATACTAAATACATATTATACAAATTGTCTGCATTATTAAAAGTTAAATTAATAAAACGAAGGTTACTTTTTATAGGTCACTCCAAAATATGACTGTATAAGTAGAGGATTGCAAATTATTTTTGACCAGGACACAACATTTTTGAATGCAGCAAAGGTTTTATCTTAAAAAAATCGTTCCACTCATTGGTTATACAAAAATATACGGTTTTCACTTTATTTTTCGTATATAAGGCATACGATGTTAGCTAATATTATATAGGGGAATATATTATATAAATGTATACATACTTGTTCATGCAATTTTCGGACGTCCTGTATCTCATCAAAAATAATATTGGTATTGGTAAAAAGATACTGATTTTACAATCAAGTGTTTTTTTTTTAAAAAACAATTTTTTAGAAAAAGCGGGGTTATAGTCATCTTTTGTAGCAGCGAAACTCAGTTTACTTCCAACTTTGAGAGTTAACTCTGTGATCAGGAATTAAACCTTGTTCGTACTTCACATGTCAAAAGTAAAAAAAATGCCTAGTACTTGTAAGAAAATCACTAAAAAAAATTGGGAAAAACTCAAAAACAGGAATTTAACCTAACAAATTTTTGACAAAATCGATACTGTTTTTTTGCACAAACAAAAAGAATAATATTTGTAGAGACATTCATTAAATATTTGAAATAGTATATTACACTTAAAAAAAAATTAATGAACAGTATTGTATGATCAAGAATTTTTTTTCAAAACTTTGTAATCGGTTAATTACTAGAGTAATAGCAGCTGGATGAATATTTATAATTTTATACTATCATATGTTTATGTATAAAAGAGCTCAGATAAGTAAGAAAGGACCCATAAATATTGTGAAATACAACACAATATATCTAAAATAATGTAATCGAATTTCTACTGAACGCGTAACCCCCAAAATGTAAAAAAAAATACTTTAAAAAAATACTTAAAGCCAATGGTCCGTGTAATTGATGCGTATATTAAATTTCAAAATATTTGATCGAAAAAAATGGAATCTAATTTTCTGAAACACAACATTTACTAGCATGAAACTATAAAATGTGACTTTTGATTAAACATTAAGTTTTTTAATTGTATGTAGACACATAACGTTATATCAACTGTGACCAATTAAGTACCCGTCTACTGCAAAACTGCAAAATTTAAAAAAAAGACGTTATCAAAATATTTCTCAATGGACATTAGCTAACGCATGGTGCACTAATACTTTCTTATAGACAAACAATTATTTTATGTAATTATAATTATAATATTATGTACTATTTAATTTAATTTGTTTTTTTTTTTATTATTATTTATTTTATAAATAAGTACTTTATTGTTTCATAATATGTAAATAATAAACATGGCTTGATAAAATGTTTTAGCAAAACAATTTCAATTATTTATACAATTGTACATTAGTCGGTTCAGATTCGTAAAAGCGTATAAGCATTTAAATGCTTCGTAAGTATAAGTAGGTAGGTATACGTATAATACATAATAATTCTTTGATTCAATATATTACTCTTACTGTATACAGACGTTTTCGAACATTTATCTTAAAAAGGTCGTAACCCTTTAGTCCTTAGTAATTATAACTTAATTCAACATAATACGCTTTAATAATTTTTAATTTTCGTAAAAAAAAAAGTATAATAAAATCAAGTAAGTACGTGAGTACCTAACATTTTCACTGACGAAAATTTATTGTTTCAAATAACTGATTGTTGACGGTTTTTGTTTAAGTGTAAGTTTTTTTTACATGTAGGGTATACAATAGTAATATATACATTATACATATATGTGTGTATACGTATAAATTGTTTAACTGCTCTCTTATATTTCAATGATTTGTCGTCCCTACGGTCCTGATTCTTAGTGGGGGTTGACCGAGTAAAAAATAAAAAAAAATACGGGGGCAAATACCCTACATCGGTTGTAGTTGTGTATATAGATAAGATAAATCATACACGACGAGCGGGGAAAGAAGCGTACTCAAGCGAAGTAGTCGAGCCCATAAATCTCTTTTACAATTGTAATCAACATTCTCCGTTTTTCTTCTTTTTTTTTTATGAACAACCGTGTGATTCGGTATTCCGAATGAAACACTTATGGTATTGTATAATGAAATAATATATTTATTTTGAAACTTTTGTAAGTAAACTGAAGGGTGACTTTATGCGAAAGTTATACAGTCTTGTTTTATCGCAAACGCGTCGCTCTTTCTATAAAATTAATAATGAAAACATAAATAATAATACAATGTCGAAAAATTGAACATATTATTACGTACAGAAATTAAATTTAAATTCTAGAGCATTTGCTCAAACGTCACACATATTGTACCTACGATGTACGCATTTATACCGACATGGCTATACACATAATAATAATACTATTATAAAATAAGGTTGATTTATGTTTCACATACGCGTGAGAAAATTTTTTGCCGTTTGATTTGATTATTTTTTTATTTTCAGCTATTAAATTTACATTTAATCTTGTAAACTGATCCATACATTTCAAACCTCGAGTGATATAACTTCAATTTTTTTTTTTTTAAATTAATTTAGAAAAAAGACTCCATAGCGTGACCTTTGGCTTGTTTTTTTTTTATTATATGTTCTTAAATAATTTAGATTAAATTGTACAATTTATTCAATGTCTTTCATAAACAAAATTATATTTTTGATGGATTCTTCGTCGGGGCCCAGTGCGCCATGAAGGTGTCCCGGTATGTTGTGTTTTTGTCGAGCCCCTTTTGTGTCTCTACATTCGGTGAGGATATGTCAGATAGAAGTTGTATATTCTGAGGCGATTTAGTAAAACTTCGTTTCTTCTTTTGAGAGACATTGGGTTATTCCATTTTTCTGTAGTTCTTTTTATTTCATTTGATTTAGTTTTCATTTTCAGCCATTCGTTTTGCCATTTATTTTTGATTTGGTTGTGTATAATTTTTTTTTAAATCTTTGTCAGATTTTATATGCCAAAGTGTTGGTTGATGTGGGTTATTACTTATTGGTTTTTTCCTTGGCACGTATGTCTGCTCTTTCATTGCCAGTTATTCCGCAGTGCCCTGGAATTCATGAGAATATTAAGTTATTAGTAATTTTATAAGTCGAGTCGATCATTTTACTAATCATAACATTATCGCTATGAATGTTACTAAGACTATAGATAAAGTGCTCATGGAGTCTGTTAAGATTATGTGCTTATTATTATGCAAGTTAGCACTTATTGCATAAGATAGGGCTTTATATATGACTAGTGCCTCGGTTGTATATATGCTACAATTATCCGACAATCTCTCAGAAAGCTCGGTTTGTCGGATAACTGCAGCTTCACCCACCCTTTTGTCTGTTTTTGAGGCGTCTGTATATATATAAGTATGTGATCCGGTAATGTGTTTATTAATTAATAGAATATATTTTTTCACGTATGATTTGTGGTTTCTTTTTTCGTTGTAAATCGCAATCGACGTATCAAACGAGTACTTTGTCGTTGTCGCTTCAATTTATATCTACAAAATAAATTTAAAATTTCAGAGATTATTAAAAAAAAACTGTTCTTCATGAGACATATCTGAAATTGTATGATTTAGTTGAGTTATAAATTAAATGTTATTACGAGCCAATGGTCTAGTTTTCGAGGCTTTAGTATTGATAAGAAAAGAAAAAAAACAACACAACATACATCATACATAAATGTATAAATATGTATATATATATATATATGTATAAATAGAAAAAAAATTTAAAAAGTAGAACATTTGAAATATTGATAAATAGCACTAAATGAGTCAAAATATTTTGAAAATTGTATCATTAATATTGACGAATGTGATGATACAGATCTTAAACATAAAATTGTTTTTTATTCATTAAATTCATTAAATAATATTTACTTAATCATGCCAAGGTAAAGTTAAAAATTATTTTACATTTTTTTTACTTTTTTACTATAATATATAGTACATAAAGATACTGTATATTTTAATAGTACACATTATAAAAGATATGTTGCAGTTATCGTTACTCTTCAAGCAACGGATTATTATAATGTTCAATATGAGAATTCATATTTAAAATTGGACAAGTAAACTTGCTATATCTTACGCTCTTCTATAAAACAGTTGTCATTGAGTACAGAGTAGGTCGTCACTCATCACTGTCAAGGATGTGTTAAATTTGAATTCAATAATAAATCATTGCAAATGAAATATAATTCTTAGCGGAAACGAACTATCATTATCATTTATAGGTTTTTCTTATTAACTAGGTATATTTATATTTAAAAAAAATGTGCTTACCTATATAACCTTGGGTTATTTATCAGGAACCTTTTGTAACATTGTAAAGTCTTACCTATGTATTTTTAATATTTTTATTTTTCAAGGAAAATTTAGTTACAGAGGATCTTGTATTCCATTTATAAGATTTTTGACCGAGCGAGAATTTTTTTATCAACGTTCATAAAAAAAAATTAAGAAAATCAAAATAATATTTCAAATTTCTAATTTCTATAAATCACTCTAAAATACTCTTATTATAATATTAAACTATATCAAAACAACTACAGGAAATATAAAATACTAATATAAACGCTGATTAGTGAAAAATTCAAGTATCTAGAAGTTTTTACAGTTATTCATTTTTGATTTTGAATTATAATATTTACAACGAAAAGATAAAATCAATTTCTTCAAAAACTGGCCTTTGAAAAGTACTCAGAGTTTTCAAACTCGACTTCTCAAAAGTATCAACTAGATCCAATTTTCTACATAAAACTCCCTAAAGTTGAATATCGAACAAATTGCTTCTTTTCCAATACATCGTTTACAAATACACAAAAAAAAATCCTTGTAATATTATCTTCGTAAAATCAATACGTTCATCGCTCCACACAGGATCTAAAAATATATATAATATAATATAAAAAAAAAAATCATATTTACATTACTAATTTTAAAAAAAAGTAAATAGAGAATATTTTACTAAAAATTATATTACGGTTATATTTGTTGTTTATTATATTAATATTGAATTTTTAATGGAATTATAAAGTAAAAATATTACCGGGTTTTAACGATAACTTTATACTTAAATATAAACGATTTGGCGTTATTAAAGCACAATATGTTTTATTTACATTTTCGTTCTCTGCTGTAGGGGGCAAGCAATTTAATAAACAAACTTCGCGTGCCCCGCAATAATAGCGCGCCTAACAAATATTAATAACATTGTTACAAAGCGGATTTTTTATTTTTTATTATTTTGTTAATAATAAACGCTTGCTTAAAAAAAACGATGTGCTTCTTCGTAAATTGAAGGTGAATTTATTTATTTATTTTTTGTTCGAGGGTCCGCGAACGAGAGCCGCCTACAATATTTTAATAACTTTTCCCTTCGTCGTCTTTGCAAGGTGATTCAATTTTCGTTTTTTTTTTCATTATTATTTACATTTTTTTTTTTTAAATTGATGTTTATTAAGCAATTAGAGGGTAGTCGCCGAGCTATTTTGTAATAAAAATATATTTGCAATTCAATTAGACGGGGCAAGATTTTTCGGGGTTCAACCTTCCAGACCCAGAAATACTGTCCCGCCTCCCTACAACTTCGAAAGAAAGGATTGCGTCTAATGTTTACTTTTTACGAAATAAAAAATAATATTCCACGAGAAAAAAAAACTATTTTTCCTGCGGGTGTTAATGCGCAGTTTATCAAATAATCGAATTTAAGACAAAATAACTAACTAAATAATATAAATACCAAGGAGGGATCTAAACAAGGGTGATGATTGAAAATTAATACCTCCATTATGCGAACGAATAATTTATTTCGTGTTTATACAAAAATTTAAATCGTTTAACAGTGCACATTGTGATTTCTGAGATATTCGTAAAGGGGGAACGGGTAAAAAAAATGACAAGTTAATATTTATACGTAGGTAAGCAATATTTTTTTTATCTTTTAACTATTTGCTAGTACTTATAATAAGTGAAAGGTTATATTGTCATAAATGATAATAATAAAAATAATAATAATGCTCTTTAACGCGATAAAAACTCTATTTACATAATAACTACACGCATTTTATTTTAACGAATGGTAATATAATAACGAATTCAAAATGGATTTTTAATCAATTATAATATTATAATAATATGTACCAGATAACGTATTTTGTTGGGTTAAATCATGACGTGCATTAATTTATCAATTATCCATATAGTACCTAACATTACAATAAGCCATTAATTATTAAATTATAATTATTGAAACATTAAGTGACACATTTGCAGTATTTTTTTTTAAATTTCCTATATTTAATTTTTAAATAATCGTTTTTATAATAAATTATTACCTTTTTAACGAGTATAAGGGTCAATCGAATTAAAAATAAACTATTTTTTTTCGCAGGGATTAGAAATTTAATTATCCTATCAAAACAATTGAAATAAAATGAGAATTATTTAACAAAATAATAAAATAACGAATTCTATAATTATAAATTTCAACGCCCATTCAACCGCTGATCCAAATGGTTTTTCAATGCGAATTGCAATTTAGTGAGTCATTCGAACGTTTAATTCTCGAAAATGTTTTTAATTTTTGAGCAGAGCGATGAATAAATTGGTTTTACAATGACAAGTTGATTGGTTTTATTGTGTGTCTGTCATCACAATTTGCCATTTTGGACATTATTATAGAGAGTTAAAATTTGTTTGAGTTTTTTCAATTTGTGTATGTTTCTAAGTCCAAAAGCGTAAAAATGTAGTACAACTCTTCCCATAATATATTATATTATATTGTTTTTAAATTAACTATAAACATATCGAAAATACTTAGTCATAATTATTTCTATGACCGTTTGTCGTTTGAAGTTTTAATTGTAAAGACATTGCAAGATATCTAAAAGTACTATATTAATTAATAACAAATTATTTAAAAAATATGATTGTTATTACAATCCACTATTACTTAAATTTTATTATTTCTCGTACACAATAACATTCTCGCAATAATACGGCATTTTAAATTTTCAAATTCATTCAGTCTTGTCTATAAATAGTGATAACAATATTGTCATGCTCGGTCAAAAAGTTTGAAAATGTTAATCAATGTTCTTCATAAGTTTTGTTTAAGAATAGTTACTAGCCATAAAAAAAATATCGAATATGTTTATGTACTTACAATTTTCTTGCTCGAACTTAAACATTATAGGTACTTGAAAGAAAAATAACGATTTTTCTCCTAACAATTTTTGTTATCGTGCTATAATTAAAAAAAAATTAATTTTTTAAACTTGAAACTTTTCGCTATTATGTATTTTATTGTTCCTATACACAATTACTTTTCAAAGTATTTAAAATAATTATTTAAATCTATTCAGTATTCATTTAATGAACCTATTTAAACTTGTATTATTAACATTTAAGTTATTAACAATAATACATAATATGATAAATTAAAATAATGTCATAACATTTTTTGGCAAGAATTAACTCAACATACTAATACATTGTACCTAGATGGGCAGACGAACCAAACAATTCTGTAAATAAACTCACATTGTACTGCAACTTACAATCAGTTCGGTATGGGTAGAAAAAGTTGGGGCCAGCTAACTTTACATACTTTATAATATCACTTAAGTGTACTTGCTGTGCAGTCCTTGTAAGTTGTATTATACACGAACAATCTGCACATTCCCAGAGAAAGTTATGACGTATTCTCTAGGACGGTGATATTATTATGTATCTACATGATATGTAAGTGTTTATTCTTAACTGTAAAGTAAAGATAATATTTTGATAAACTGTCAATCGGGCACGATTCACTTTATTCTTACTCACGCGTAGCGTTGGAAATACTTGCAGACTGCAGCACGTGACTTTTACGTACGATTTCAATATTATTATTAAAAAACACGAGTAGCCATATTGTTGTTCAAACAATGAGAAGGTGCCTGTGAAATCATTTCAAACAAACATTATATAAATTACCAGAAAAAAAAAACCTTCAAAATGTGACTTAACTAAAAAATAAATTTAAATTGTAATTTAAAATCTATTTGAAAGCCCGTATACTGGGTGTTCACCAAGCATTTTTAAATATATGTACTTAAAGACCATATTTTCAAATTCTTGAGATTTTTCGGTTCTATTTAAGGAGTGTCGTCGTGTGGAGATACAAACTTCTGTTTTTAATTTTTCACGGCCATCAGATTGTATCATACTATACTTTTATCTTCTTCTCCTGGTGTCGGTCAGTGTTCTTGTAAAGTTGAAATCCTTTTGTTTCCCCGATACACCCGATATTTTGTAATATTAATAAACATTCGCTCAAGCATTTCTATACGACTAATGTCAATAGCACCTGCGAGTAAATTATATAATTTGCATTTTACTATTAGGTACCTACAGTCTTTCACCGCCAGCAGGTCGTATATTATTTAACTGTGTATCCATACACTCGATGTGCCCCAACTGATCAAAATACTGGTTGCAATATTAACGTTATTAATCCCACACGTCGAGTCGTCCACTGCAGAACACCGTTCGGCGAGTTTTTCTCCAAATAACAGCCGCTACACAGCCTCAATTATGTATTATTACCTACCTATCATGTGTGCTCAGTGCGCGTTTGCTCTCATTTGAGCGGCAGTTCGCCCTTTTCAATCTCATCTATTACCGGGAATCAAATTGGTATTGACAATAATAATTACAATAGTCGGTGACCGGAAATATCAAGCGGACCGCGGCGCAAGCTGCAGCAAACACACAGCTCCAACGGCCCGTCGTCGTGCTGTATAATGTATTGTGTATATAATAATATGTACTGTGTGTGTGTGTGTGTGTGTGTGTGTGTGTGTGTGTGTGTGTAATGAGTACAGTGGTGTTTGTGCATCTCGTACCTATGCAGACATGTATGTGCGTAACAAATTGCACACAATAACATCGTTTAGCTGTATTTAATATATAGATGCAAACTATATACACGTCACATCACATCAGTATGGTACTAAAAGGATTATTTCCCGAACGTTTAATACGACGACTCTCTAGTCATATTATTTGCATGATTATAGTTTTGATTTTTGACCGTAGTAAATAATATATATGGTACTAAAAGGATTATTTCCCGAACGTTCGATACGAAGAATCTCTTGCAATATTATTTGCATGTCTACCTATAATTTTGATTTTTGACCAAACTAAATAATAATTTATAATATACACTAAACAACTAATAATATTGAAAAATATATCAAAACGAAATGCTAGCTAGCACTTAATACAGTATAGTTGTATTGTTTTTATGGACTATTACAATTAAATACTTAGGTTTGATCGGTTGTCTCGACGGTCATACCTTCACCTGCAATCGTCGTTACATTTTTAGACCGATTGAGACAACCATTGACCCACCACATTTTCAACAAAGACTTCGAATTCCAGACAACACTAGACTTCGTA